AGGTTAAAATCTAGTGAAAGGCACTACATCATTGAAATCGACTAACTTTCCTCAAACACCGTTTCCATCTTAAGATATTCAATGGCTTTCCATTCCAAGTCGTGCTGCAAGAAATTCAAACCCTCGGCAACAGACACTGTCTTGCAACAATACCGTTCACCAGTAAGCTTATTTCTGTAACATAATCCATGATCGGCCAAGCAACCCGGGGCCATGTGCAGTTATCCAAGTTCCAAACCTTGACGTGATTTAATACCCGTCGGCAAGAAAAGATGTTGATACTCCCAATATATTTATTTGTGGAGACGCACGTGTGCATTTCATTGTGAGGAATGAATACATGTTTACGAACGTCGGTGTGTATGTATGCGAATAACCGTGTAGCTATGAATATCTGCCCGGAAAGAATTCAACATTTTTTAATATCTCGGAAACTAATAGCGCGGTTCTGATTTAATTTGGCCACAAGTCAGAGCGGACATTTTTGTGCATGTGTGAACGGAAACTCTCCTGTTGGGTTATACACTCCACAGTGAGGCACTACTGGTTCTTATTTGTAAGTGTTTTATTGACAATAACTTTGTGATAGCTGACTGTCCAAAAATCGAAAATTGTTCGTTAAAACGACTTGGATAAGATTAAGAGGAACGCGAAGAGGCTGCTGATATCTATCGTCAAATATAATTTGCAGATGGTTTTGAAAAGTGTAAGGAACGCTGGAATACAGATGTAAGGTCACAGATGGAGTACTTTGAAGACAAAGGCACCATTAAAATAGGTAGATTATTCATTGATATATATTAACTATAATATCTTAAATACCTGGATCGATCTTTTTGACAGGAGTAGAGATTTATCCCTTGTTTCTTGTTTAGGATTTTCTTTCCGGTTCCTTCAAAAGGAACCGGTTCCTTTTCATAACCTATCACTCCCATTCACTTTCATTCTCTATCTTTCGGACAGACATCGTATTCTTCAACTAAACTATACTTGACTCAAAGTTTGACCTTCAGAATATTAATATGCCAATTGTATAACGGTTATCGTTGCAGAAATAGAAATCTGCGAGCCGAGTTCAAGTCCCAACCTTGTCTTCTGGGTTCAGTTTTGTAGGAATACTCGTAACAACCCATAATTCATTTCCTTTCCTCGAGTTGTAATTTAAATTGCAGGGTGGACTGAGATGTCTGGCTTTGGTTGTCGGCAATTTCAGAAGGCCAATTTTTGATTCAAACACGGGGTGAAGGCAACGGATAAAAACACTTTCTCAAGAAGGTATGACGCTTAACAGGGAATGTAGAAAATGCTGCTATGGAGAACCATAATCCTTTAGAGCTGAAAAGATATGAAAAATGAAGCGTTATTGATAGATATATTATAACAGATTTGATAAGGCGCCTAGCTACAGGATGCGATGGATAAATTGTCGTTAAAATTCCGCAAAAATAAAAATAACACTACCATCACATTTTAATATATATATTTACCAAACTTCCAAAAAGAGTATGTTGCAATACACAAGAGTAAATTTATTCAATAAAATCGCCATTGGCTTCAACCACGGTCTCCAGACGACTTCGGAATCTCCTGCAACTTTTCTGGACGGTCTCCTTGTTTAAGTTGGTGAATGCTACCATAATCCTTGCCTTCAGTTCATCTTTGGTGCTACAAGGAGTTTTGATGGTGTCTCGCTCAACTGCTCCCCACACATAATATTCAAGGAGGTTGCAGTCTGGGGAGTTAGCTGGCTAGATGTAAGGAGTGATTTGGTCGCAGAAATTGTCTAACTGACATGACTAGATAACTCTGCTAGTGCTGCATGGTTCATATTCTTGTTGCCAGACATAGTACTTTCGAGAGTCCACCCTCTTTGCCCAGGGCAGCACTACCTCCTAAAGTCAGTTGATGTAGGATTACGTGTCGAGTCTGAGGCCCCCAGCAACAAATTCTGGAGTTCGTTTCTTATCAGAACAATCAGGGTGATATTTCCAAGCAGCCTTACCTTCATGATCACTATTAGACTCATCCAACTCGTTCGTATTGGAGCTTCCGGCGCGAATATCAAGCAGTACAAGATGCCGTTTCCAGATTCCTGGCGGAGTGAATTGCATCACGGTGCGCCTTTTCTCACAGACGCTGCCCAACTGACTCTACTATACTGTGACATCGACAAAATCTAAAACAAACTATTCACATGCGCGAAATTAAAAATATAAAATGGCGACAATTTACACATCGCATCCTGTATATAGAAGTTTGTGTGGTTGTCTTGCAGAGAAGGATTTTTCTTGTGTTTGACCATTAGTAAGTATCTCCTATCGTCATTCACAGATATTTACAGTCGATGAGCCTTGCATTATATGGTAATGATAATCTATCCGTTTCCTTATAAAGAAGTTTTCGGCTTTCATTCTTCGAGCAGTTAATGCTACTTTCGGTTGAAATTCAAAGAAATTTTCTATTAGTGATTTCCCAAGCGTAGCTTAGATGTGACACAAGGTCGAAAGTAGAGAGTATCCAGTGAGGATCGAACTCATGACTCGTATTTGTTCTAGCGAGACAATCTTGCTAACTATTACACTGCCTGGAGGCCCCAATAATTTTTAATGAATATAGGTTTTTAAAGGCAGTAACAGTTATCGTTCTTTCCAGAATTGAAGGGATCTTTCTCTCCGAACCATTTGTTTGAAGTAGTGTTTATGTCATTATATTCTTTTCCAGTTACAGGTGATATAAATTTTAGATGTTGCTGCTACTGAACGTCAAGTATCTGTGGTTCCTGTTATTCAGTACAGTTCTTTATGATTTTCTAGCACCAGTCCACAAGGTTTAAAAAAAAGGATGGTCCTCGCTAAATCTAGATGGTACGTTTGCTGTATACCGTTTTAACTGTTGATCTGAGAAAGAGTTTATATACAATTGCCAGTTCATAAATATCTGAATGAGTTTGGGGCCAAACAGGTGATCCACATGAATGTTTCGATCTGACGATTCTATTCAGCAGCATAGTCTAGCAAACTATTACGAATCGAGTGAGTTCACTCTATACTGCTTGGGTAATCATGGTCTTGTTCTTTTGACAGAGAAAACTAAACTTTTTGAAAGTTGCTTGTCTTGCGCCTTGGTTTCTCTCATTCCGACCTGAAACGTGTAATCAGAATTCTTTTCACTTTGTCGCATCAGGAGCACCTCATCAAAAATATTGACAGAAACAGAATTAAAAAGTTATTTCGCTTTAACACGTCTCATTAAATGTTTACGGTATGACACATCTCATTAAATGATTCTGCTTCGATACATCTCAATAAATGATTCCGATTTTACACATTTCATTAAATGATTCCAGTTTGACACATTTCATTAAATAATTCCAGTTTTACACATCTTATTAATTCCGGTTACACACATCGCATTAAATGATTCTACTTTTATCCATCTCATTAAATGTTACCGGCTCCACACATTCAACTTCCGGTATGACGCATCTCGTTAAATGATTACGGTTTAATACATCTCATTAAGTGATTCTGGTTTTACCACATCTCATTAAATGATTGCGTGTTGACACATCTAATTAAATGATTCGGTGTTGACACATCTCTTAAATGATTCCATGTTAGCACATCTCATTAAATGATTCCGTGTTGACACATTTCATTAAATGATTCCGTGTTGACACATCTCATTAAATGATTCCGTGTTGACACATATCATTAAATGATTCCAAATTGACACATGTCATTAAATATTTCATGTTGACACATATAAATGATTTCGTGTTGACACATAAATGATTTCGTGTTGACACATCTCATTAAATGAATCCGTGTTGACACATCTAACTAAATGATTCCGTGTTGACATATCTCATTATATGATTCCGTGTTGAACACATATCATTATATGATTCCGTGTTGACACATCTCATTAAATCATTCCATGTTGACACATATAAATGATTCCGTGTTGACACATCTCATTAAATCATTCCATGTTGACACATATAAATGATTCCGTGTTGACACATCTCATTAAATCATTCCATATTGACACCTCTAATTAAATGATTCCGTGTTGACACATTTCTTAAATGATTCCACGTTAGTACATCTCATTAAATGATTCCGTGTTGACACATATCATTATATGATTCCGTGTTGACACATCTCATTAAATATTCCATGTTGACACATATAAATGATTCCGTGTTGACACATCTCATTAAACATTCCATGCTGACACATATAAATGATTCCGTGTTGACACATCTCATTAAATCATTCCATGTTGACACCTCTCATTAAATGATTCCGTGTTGACACATCTTATTAAATGATCCTGGTTGGATACATCTGATTCAATGATTCTGATTTTAACCATCTCCTTAAATGATTCCGGTTTTACTCATCTCATTAAATGATTCCTTGTTGAGATATCTCATTAAAGGATTCTGGTTTTGTACATCTCATTAAATGAGACCGATATGACACATCGAATAAATTGATTCTGGTTTGATACATCTCATTAAATGCTTCTGTTTTACCGGTCTCGTTAAATGATTCCGGCTTCAACCATCGCAATAAATGATTACGTGTTGACACATTTCATGAAATGATTACGGTTTGACAAATCTTAAATTATTACGGTTTGGCAAATCTCCTTAAAGGATTACAGTTTGAAACATCTCCTTAAATGGTTCTGGTTTTACTCATCTCATTAAATGATTCCGGTTTGACACATCTCATTAACATTGTTCTTATCATCAGGAATAACAAGAGTGATTAGGCCCTGAATAAAGTTTCTCTCAAGTAGAAGTCACTATTTATTGCATTCGAAAGAGAATTAGAAAATCAGCGAAAGAATGGAGAACTACTGGTGTGAATATTCATTGGAACTAGAAAGTAATATAAAATAATTCGAAGGCTTTTGTTTTGATGAAAAGCGAACCAATCGCCTTTCTCAATATTTACGACCGAGTTAAGCGGACTCGCTGCCTGTAAATGGAACGAGACAGAACGTCGCGGTATCCAAGGATCATCGCCGGGAAAGGCTACGCAATTTGTCGCCTCATATTACAGTTTTTCACGGCGATTCAGAAATGTTGAATAAGACTGATGAGATTGAAAAAAAAAAGTAAAGAAAAAACGACATAATAGAAAAACTCAAAACAAGACAGATAAATGATTACCTTCTTTTTCAACAGTTTCCTTTTAGTGTCTGTGCTTTTAGCGAAGGACTTTGAAATTTATGTTATGGGCGACATGTTATATTCGTGTTAGACGTAACGGGACGTTGTCTTAACACAAACAAAGAACATAAACGACTCTTGTTTCATAAAATGCAGTCCGACTGACCCATAACTTTTCCACTGTGGCTGGCTTTTATAGACAAAAGTAGTTTTATAAGGGTGGGTATCATAATATTTTTATACTGTTTCAGATATATTTGCTGTAATAGATTCATACTTAAAAATACTCACACTCATACAAGTACAGGCGCTTAGATATCCCAATATCTATCTATCTATCTATCTATCTATCTATCTATCTATCTATCTATCTATCTCGGTCTGTTAATTGCCTATCTATCTATCTATCTATCTATCTATCTATCTATCTATCTATCTATTGTAGCAAACATATGGGCGATAATGGACATGTCCCCATTCACAAAAATACACTAGTAAATAATGTATGTTGGTCTGCAGTTGGACATTCATTGTGGAATTCACTTGATTCCTAGAAGTTGACTACTACTTCTACGCGCCGCTGGCGAATCTTATATGTGTTGTTCTTGTCCTAAGTATTATCGTTCATTACCAACCTTCGTTTGATTATTCTTTTTCAGTAACCTTCCTTAGGTTTACAACACTCATTCATCATTCATCATCTATCTATCTATCTATCTTTATCTATCTATCTCAAGCTGTCCATATCAATATACCTTAACATCATCTATCCATCTATCTATCTATCTATCTATTCATCTATCCATATCATCTTTAACATCTATCCATCTATCTATCCATCTATCTATATCATCCATCTATCTCAGTCTGTCCATATCAATATCCATCTATCCATTAACATCTATCATATCAATCCATTCATCCATCTATCCATCTATCTATCTATCTATCCATCCATCTATCTATCTCAAGCCGTCCATATCAATATACCTTAACATCATCTATCTATCCATCCATCATATCATCCATCCATCTATCCATTCATCTATCTCAGTCTGTTTATCCATTCATCATATCTATCATCTATTCATCTATCTATCTCAAGCTGTCCATATCAATATACCTTAACATCTATCTATCTATCTATCTATCTATCTATCTATCTATCTATCTATCTATCTCAAGCTGTCCATATCAATATACCTTAACATCTATCTATCTATCTATCTATCTATCTATCTATCTATCTATCTATCTTATTTTATGATGCCAGGATATACTTTGTACCAATATACATCAAGAAAAGAACATTTATCGATATAGTAGACGCTGTGGGACAAATTAACCTGCAATCTTTTGAGATATAAACAAGTTTTTGTTTTGTCTTTATTCATGTATAAAATAAAATCGACGGACCTAATAGTGGCTTAATGATCTGTACATAGAGATGCTTTTATCTCGTCGGAAAACAGTCAGATAATAAAGTAAGTGAAAAAAATGAATGATGTAATAATAATGACAATTTGTTATACTTAAAACAATAAAGAGGTTAAATATTAATAGAAAAGTGAATTTTAAATTTTGGCTGACTTATGTGATTTAGAAAAAAACAATTCAATTGTCTGCAAAGGCACACACACACAAATCTATCTATATATGTATATTATGACAAAGTGGAAAAAGTTTTCTTCTGGCGCGTTTCATCCTTCATGACTTCATCGGGTTAAATTTATATTTACGTTGATGCAACTACAGATGCACCCGAACAAGAGACGGCTTTGAATTTAAAATTTAAAGAGGATTCAGGTTCAGGTTATTGCAATTCCGGTTCAGACAACGTTTCTCCATTTATGGGGAATTTTTTATTAGCACAATATGGGATATTTAGCAACAAATGTAATGGAAAACCGAAAAAGAAAACAAGAAAAAGAATCTAAATGAAATCGGCTAGATTATATACCCTGAACACACACACACACACACACACACACACACACACACACACAAAGCAAAATTGTTTAACTGTTCGATTAAAATTTGAAACGTTGTATCTTAGAAATGATTAAAGATATCTTACTGGAATTCTCCGAATCTTTTACAACACTATTGGACTCTACTTTGAGCAATAAGAATGTATAATTACTCTTCAAGCTAAACAGAAGAATCGTGATGAAATCGATCATAAACGAAAATGACATGTCCATCATAGGTAAAGATCGGAAGCTCATGATGAATTGGAATAAAGTTCCAAGTTAGCTCTAAGTTAAAATGATGATCTCTCTTCCTGTTGTAACCTCCTGATCCGGTTTTCCGCTCCAATGTTCCCTCTTTTTAAAACTTATTCAACGTTCTTTTTGATGGTTCTTGAATATACTTTGAAGATGGAAGCCAGAGTATGAATATTAGGGCCATTACTGAAGGCCTGAATGAACCTTTTCTTGTCAACATCGCTCACTTTGGAAGTCATATTGGGGATGATACAAAAATAATTTTAACCTGTTCTCTTTCTAACTGAATAACTCAAAGGATTTCTCAGTGATTCTTATGATAAATAATGTTAAGATGGCTAAACATCTTATCTGTAAACCCGGAAAAAAGAAACTCACTTAGTTTAGTGGGGTTTTTTTTGTTTTTTTTTTTAGATATTAAGAACTTTTTGGGATGGTCAATTATGTATCTGCTGAAGCATCAAAATTGTCCAAAACCTTTGATAGATATATATATAATTCATCGAGCCTGAGAGAAACCTCAATAGAATGCTCTGGACGGAGGTTTCGTTCTATATTTGGAACTCATCAGCAATGCGCATCAAATACCGAGAATTGAAACCCTGACAGTTACGTTGTCAAGCAAACATCATACCAACTGTCCCAATTGGCCTCGGTGGCGAAGATATTGCAAATCAGACTCAATATAGCGCCGCCCGCTCACATATTCCGTGGTGAACTCTACTGAGTTCTCTCTAACCAAAGGACTGTGCCCCCTGGAGCCACGACTACTCTCACCAAGCCGCTCACTCTAGAGCATTAGAAGCTGGTTCAATGATGATATACAGATATAATTATTAGGAGGATTTGATAATTGTATTCAATTAATTCATAAATTCATGAATTAATTAAATATAATTATCAAATCCGCCTAATAATTACTATCTCTCTCTCTCTCTCTCTCTCTATATATATATATATATATATATATATATATATATATATGTATGTATATATATATATATATATATATATATATATATATATATATGTGTGTGTGTGTGTGTATATATATATATATATATATATATATATATATATATATAAAGATCTTCTTTAAATTAAAATTACTAGGTCTCTCGTAGGTACGCATGCGTAGTTGCATCGTTAAACGAAAAAGTTTTACACTTTGCCTTCTTTCCCCTAATACTGTTCTTGATATATAAAAAAATTACACCGTTATCTCATATATATATATATATATATATATATATATATATATAAAAGAAAGCTGTTATAGTTGTTCCAACGAGAGAAAAGTGTGTATATTAAAAAGAAGAGAGGTACCGTAAACGTTTTTGGCTGTAATGTTTTTTTTTATTAATATTATGCTTTATTTTCCTTAATTTTACTACTCGTGTTTCTGGTCTCGCGACCGTGTTCATGTAAAAAGCGGAGATTTCCACATATTATTAAAAATAATTAATTTTTCCTTTTATGTTTTTCGATGTTAAATATTCTCGATATGAGACATTCTCTTTTTTTTGTATTAGTAACCCGAATGTCTTCCTTGAACTGGCAGTGAAGAGTCCTGCGCGAAGGGTCGTAAAACAATTAAGATTGGTCCGAGAGAAATGATGAATTAGTTATCGGTATCTTATCTTTGAATGTTTTGATGACCCCTGTGTGTTCTTAGATCTATTTCAGTTTGCGTGTGTTTCTGTCAGCATGCGTGTACATATGCGTGTGTATATTTCCTCTCCATACATACACATTGTCTCACTACGAGGAATTAGTAAACACATTTGTACACATACACAGATAAACACACACATACACACCCACACACAACCACACACGCACGCACACACACACACACACACATCTTCCCACCTCAAGGAATCAGTTCATACACACACATACATACACTCATATGTATACACACATACTTCCCAAGTTACAAGGAACCATTATTAACATACACACATACGTACATATATACGTTTGCGTTACCTCTCTTCTTTTTAATATATATATATATGTATATATATATATATATATGAACCCCGGTTCATTAATATAAGAAACATCTTTGAAAATGAAACCTGATATAGGGAAGTGAAAACAGCACAATCAACATCTTAGAAACGGAAAGATAAATAGTAAAATACTGAATGGAAAATATTGGAATGGAAAATAAAAACCGGAAGAAAAATCACAAAGATCTTTGAAGAAAACATGTTAAAAAATGGTGACCAGTCATCGAGCCAAGGTGGTGTCTCCCTCAACTCTAAAGGAGCACACAGCAGGAATATCTAACCGTTGGTGCCACCTAGTGGCCGTGCCGTGAAACAAAATCAATGGCTAGCACTGAACACTGTTTGAAGCTTCCATAATATCGTTATTTTCATTTGTCTTTAGCTCGTAGCAACGTAGACCAAAGCAAATTATATGTGATTTTTTAGCATAACTTGATTCTGAATATTCAATCTTACTGACACTACATTTCTTTCGTCTTGTTTACTCTATGTCTGTTTCTGTGTCTATGGTCGTTTCTCTATTTAAAAACACTTATATATTTAACCCTTTTCAGTCCATCATGCATCGCTTATTTCTCTTTCAATTATTCCTTTTTTTTTCTTTTAATTTTCCCTCTGTCGTTCACTATTTCCATATTTCCTTTCACTTCTTTTTCTACATTTAGTATTATCTTTCATTTTTTCATCTCTCTCTCTCTCTCTATATATATATATATATATATATATATATATATATATATATATATATTATTTACATTATTCGAACTGTTATCGTCATCTTCATTGACATATTCACAACGTTTTGGCCGTTGTACGCTCCGGCCTTCTTTAGGTAATCGGAATTTCGAGCCGAACTTTATATTTCGTCCACCGGAGCATATTGTTCTAGTTCCATGTGTCATGCCTCTTCCGGATGGCTCAGTTGTTTCCCTTTGACCCAACTCTCCAAGTTTTGTTCACCACTGCTGTGGCCTGGTATTGAACTCACAACTTTGGGTCTAATCATTGCATCTAACTAATGTCTTTATAGATGTTCCCTTGAGGATCAAACTTAGAGGGTGAGTTAAAGGGAAATAATTGAGGCATCCGGAAGAGGTATGGACATCAATTTTCAACACTGACTCTGTCACCATCTTGAGTCTTGCTCGCACACGTTTGCATTTGAAGGTATTAGAAACAATTTATGTTATGTCCAGACAGTCCTCCTTCTGTAAAGAGAGGGAGTGTGTCACACGGAAGCTTTTAAAATGTCATATCTTTACCATAAAATAGTTCTATATATACAAATTTATATAGAGTTAGTTATCACACACACACACACACACACACACACACACACACACACACACACACACACACACACACACACACGCGCGCGCGCGCACGCACACACACACACACATATATACATATATATATATATATATATATATTATCTAAATAATAATGGTAAGACCATTTTTACCCTTCATGATAAAAATTACGGGAAAATAACAACCAGCCGACCGGTTTCGCCCTTAATCAGTAGACCGGGAATCGAGGGAATAAATATCACAATATAAAATATAAAAAGACATTTAATGTGCAATATTAAAGGCGGAAATAACGTCCAGTCTTAACAAACACTCCCTCTCTTTACCGAGGGAGGGCTGGTTATTTTTTTTATCATAAAGGGTAAAAGGTTCTTAACTTTTTATATATATATATATATATATATATATATATATATATATATATATATATATATATATATATATAGTTGTTGCTATTGATGTTAATTTTGCAGCCTCACCATGCTCGTTGCTGCTGCTGTAATTTCCATAGCAAGTAGGTTTTTACTGAGTGGAGGTGAGATATAACACCCAAACAGTACAGCGTTCTTCTTTTTCCAGATTGGTTGTCAACCTAAGCTATAAGACCCTTTCTACCCTACTATTAAGTCTTTTCTTTCCTTCTTCTCATTTCACTTTTTCATATTTCCCATTCTTTTCTTCATTCTTCTCTCATTTTTCTCGCTTTCCTTCGTCCTTCCTTTCATTGAACTTTTTATTCTTTCTTTCTTTCTCTCATCCCTATTGTCCTTTTCTTTACATACATTTATCTCTTTTGTCCTATAATAATTGTCATATTTGCACGTATCGTTAATATCCGAAATGTGGGGCAGGAGTAGAATTGCAAGTGTTGTGTAAAATCGATGTCATCCAATTGCATGTTAACGATTTGTCAAGCGAATATAAGCACTAAAATGAAAAAAAAATTCCGATATTCATGACATATATAGAGGTTTACCCTGGTGTGTCTATCATTTTGTTGTTTTAATTCATATTGTTTTGCTGTACTGAATAATCTAACATTCTGTTGCCTTCAAAATATTATTTTCAACCAATTTGTTAGATACGATTTTTTTTTATATATATATATATATATATATATATATATATATATATATATATATATATATATATATATATGAGCTTAATGTATTTATAAATAGATAAATTAAAAAAGAACAGAAATTAAAATGAACTCATTTGAATAGCTGTTTCACTCTTAAGAGAATCCTTTACAAGATTTGTCAACACCAAGAAGTTAAGAAATAAAACAAAACCAAAAAATATTTCTTAATTCCTTGGTGTTGACAAACCTTGCAAGAATTCTCTTGTAGGTTGAAATAGCTATTCTAATGAGGTCATTTTGTATTTCTGATCTTTGTAATATATATATATATATATATATCATTGCCCATTCTATATTCTTCAGTTTGTATGAAATCTTTTGTTTTGCCAGTGTGATCATTTTGTATTTTGGCACTGAGCTACAATAATATAAGATCATTTTTTGTTGTATTATCATCTTTCCTGATTTGATTTCTTTCTTCCATTTTTATTCTTTTTCTCGCTTTCTTTATCTTCCTTCCTACATTAATTTTTATTTGCCATTTACGTGTATTTATTTTACAAAATTTCTTTTTGTATGCTATTCTTCTTTTATTTCCTTTCTTTTTATTTTTTATTTTATTTCATATTCTTAATCAATTTTCTTACACATTTCTTTTTTCTCATATGT